CGAGCGGAATTAAAGTCTGTCTTGAACAATCTTTAGACAATATCATATAAGTATATCAGCATTCTGAAATTTTTTTCTAGAAAGTTCAGTTCAATCTTCACTTTTAACGGAAATCCGACGTAATAATAAAAACGATACAAGATAACCAATGCGGCGAAGAAGTCAAAATTTCCAAAGAAACAAGAAATAAAAACCATACCCAGAACATCAACCCCGAACAATTCCAGTGAATACGTCAAAACGGCAAGTGAAATAAGAAAAAGAAAACTATATACAAAAACATATGAAAAGCATCAAACCCGAGCAAATGAAGCGACTACGTCAAAACGGCCAATGAAAAATTCAATAAAACCTATATTCGACACCAAAATGTAAAACGCAAGTTTATCGGGTTTTTTTTTAGCACGCCAATAAGTATTCTCGACCCGTCACGTCGTGGTCACCAATATGTTATACTACACTTTAACTACAGTGCAACCAAGTATATATAAAATAACTCACGGCCCTTTTCAACTCGACTTGTGGCAGAAAGGAGCAGAGAGACAACGACTTCTTTTGTCAGTACTTTGAACGAACAGCAAGATGCTTCTCCCAAAAAGCCTCCTTCTTAAAACTACTACAGCGTATTTATAGATACAAGCATTTTACAACTATTAATAACAACCAATCAGCTAAAAACACGTAAGAACTACAACCAAAAGAAACATAGATAATTAACAGCGGAAATAAAGTGTTTGCCAAATATTTAAATTATACCCTACAATGGTTCGTTCGATCTGGTGCACAACATCAGTTATCAGCCTTGTGGTGATGTTTTCAAGCACACAAGACGAAGAGGACCATGGAGATGTTCTCAAGATCAAATCCCCCTATTGGAGACCAAAGCTCTGTATCATCTCTCTGGTTTGCTTGATGAGAGAATGAGGGAAAAAATGAGGAAGAAGGCAAACAGATTTGAAGGAATAAAAGAGTTATCCAATGAAACGAATGCCATCAAAAGGGCGAAAACAAAAACATTTGTAAAAGAGGTCCACAACGATTGAAAATAGGTAGAGGATTTCAACAAAGTACGTACAAAAAATTATTGTGTGTATTCATAACGTAGATGGACTGAAAATGTATTACCAGATATATTATTAGTCATAGAAGACGTTTTTAGCTGAGTAATTTTGAAAAATTATGTTTTTCTTTAATATCCTTTTTCCAAATATGCGCTTTTAAAGCAGCCATTTCATTTTCCACCTGAGTATATGAATCTCCATCCCCTCCACTCTTTCTGACAAATATAAACGGTTATAATAAGAACTTAATCAAATAGGTTTATTCCACAAATTGTTTTTTAATTGTTTCATCTATTGTTGTTGACTTATCTTAACTTGGCAATTACAGTCCAGTGGCGGATCCAGACTACCGCCATTACCGCTCGAGCGGTAGTCAGTCAGATTATTCAAAAAATTATAGAAACAAGGATCATTTTCATGTTTATCCTAATACTTTAATTAAACCATAATTAATTATTGAAAATATTTGATCGCGCTGCAAACCAAGCCTTTCTTCATAGGAACATGCCTGAAATTTCCACAGAGACAAAAATATTGTTTAATCCTTATCGCTATGGAAATTGCGTGCCAATTGCCGAGCCACATGTTTGCAAATAGAAGGCTAGCATGGGGGATGATGAAATCACGGCTTTCTAGCTAGGGGGGTTGAGTCGGTGTAGAGCGGATTCGAGCTGCACTGAGCGGTAGTCAGCTTGCCTAAACCAATCAAATCGTCAGAAATCACTGCCAACCTGGGGGGATGCATACAAATTTTTTTGACAACCAATGAACAACCGTGTTGACTACCGCTCAGATGGGGGGTTGATGTAGTACTGCCGCTCAACGCGGCTCAAACGTTACAGAAAGATGGGGGGATGCCTACATATTCTGCAAGTGGGCAAACTGTAACTTCAAAGCCGATTTGACCCATTATTCTGTACAATACACAACTATTCGTAGGAATATATTTTAAAAGAATATTGAATTAAAAGTCAGGCCCACAATATTCGTCAAAAGTATGATTCTTTGTTTAACAAAAGTTGCTCTTAATAATTGCAAATTTTATCTAGCTTTTTAAACTTGGTAATTTTCAACAGGTCTGATTTTCATAAGTAATTGTCCGACTAAATGCGAGTTTTAGGCGACACTTCGAAATTCTGCCAAATGTATCTTTTTTCTAATTCTATGGTGTTCCTCGTCTAAATGCCGTAAATTTTTTTAGAATATCCATCCTCAGAATATTGAATAAGATTATTTATTTCTTCTCAGGCTTGTTGGAAGGATACATGAAATTTCAGTAAAGCACCGCTTGTCTCTTGAAAATGGTCTTTTTAGAAATTATAGAAAGCAATAATCATTTTAGAAAACCGGGTGTGACCAAGAAATGGGTGTGGTCTAATGGGTGTGGTCAACCCTCTATCTCATTTCGGCGGTAGTCAGATTTTTGGCTGGATCCGCCACTGCAGTCCATACATGTCATGTCAGTCCACTCTTCTTATCCGTAGTTGTATAAAATATGAACTTATTTTATTGTTAGTAGCATTATTGGTGCCTTCACCATTAAATGTTCTGATAATTTTCATGGAAATGAGTTTGATACATCTTCTTAGAAATTTATCTGATATTTTCTCAACCTGCCGATCTTTTGTGCGTGGTTTTATTGAGGAAAACAGTTTTGAAATTTTAAAAACATCAATGTTTATAAGATAAAGCTGAAATTTCTGAGCTGTTTCCAAAGGTAAAAAAGGATGATAGGGTTTTTGGCAGACTCAGATTTATTCAGTATCATTTGCCTTTAAAAAATAGATTTCTGAGCCGTTTCCGTAGGTAAGAAACTAGAATTTCTTGGAAATTTCAATTTATTCTGTATCATTTAGCTAAAAAAAGTTAAATTTCAGAAGTTTTCTGTAAGTAAGAAACTGGGGTTTTTTTGGAAACGTAAATTTATTCTGTAAAAATGGCATAGCGGATGTTAGATTTCTTATCGTTTCCGTTGTAAGAAACGCCAACGTTTCTGATGTGGCACTTGGTGGAAACGGAAATGTACCTTTCTGCTGATTTATGATGTCGGAAACTGCTGCAGAAATTCTAAGTTTCTTACAAATTTTTTTTGGTGAGATTGGTAGAAACTGTTCGTTTCTGAGTAATTTCTTTAATTAAAACTATAAGGAAACGTCGGCTTTTCTTGCCGTGCTCATTTTTTATAAGTAAATTCCTATAAGAAATAAGCAATGTGAGACAACAAAAAAGAATTAAGAAACTGCAAAACTCGAAGCTTTAGTACATGCGGAGAAAACTCAATTGCGCTTTATGATATTCTCGCGTTGTTTTGAAGAAAGATGGACTCGGTATACATCTTCAACTTCAAGAAAACATCTCAAGTTATTCTCCTTTACGACTTTCTTAATAAAAATACTGAGACTAAAGACCGAGACCGAGATTATGTTTTCCTGCTCGTAAGGTATTTTGGGGTTTATGTAGATTCAAGCAGATTTCAGAGAAAGTTGCAAAACAATTAAACTAAGGTGTTTCAAATTGGAGAAGCAAATTGGAAAGATTCCTCTCTCAGAAAAGATCCCAGAAGAGAAGAAAAGATCCCAGATTCTCAAAGCTGAAGCAGTTGAATGATGATAAGCCTCTCGGTGGTATCTGGGAGGAACATTTAATTGGGAATATTTCATAACAGGGGCTATAGTCCTCCCTAACTTTTTTGCAATCATAGGTTAGAAAATGTTTTCAAAATTTACGCTAACGAACTCATTAGAAGCAGTTCTTCTTGACTGGAAACCCGTTTTTGTCTTTTTCATGGTGCTTTAACTTGTTTGATCAAAGATGAATTTGTATTTTATCTAACTCGGTTTTGTATTTTTATACTAATTGAAATCTTCTCTGAATCGTTATGTTTAAGAATAAGGACAGAAAGAAGCAAATGTTCTCCGGTGTTTCAAAGGGTGTGGCCGTAAAAATCTAGGGCAAGCCCCCGAGCTCCAGCCACTTCCCTATGGGCTGGTGGGTGGTGTTTGCGTTACCAACAAGTTGGGGGGAAATATCATGCTTTCAAACTACGCGTAAAGAGAATAATAAGAGACAAGCACAATTTGTACATATGCGAGAGAAGATATTATTTGCCATCCGTAACGAGATTCTCGTTTATAGTATCAAATTTTTTGAAGAAAGGATTTGATGACAAAGAATCTGATAGGCTGGATGCAATTAAAATGACCTTTGAAGGCCTCACTCAGCTTTTGCCCCGGACAAAAATTAAGCAAGATTTCATTCAATTGTTTATTGAAATTCGAGAAATAAATGACTAAGATCACAGAGATCTTAGATTTGTTTTCAGAGGAGATCTACCAGGCGAGACAACGACACGCCTTCTCGCAGCAAACCCTAATTCTGCCGATGTAGAGAGACTGATTCCCATCTACAAAAAGATAGTAACAGGTTGGCAGAGCAGCTTATCTCCAAAAACACTTAACAAATATATGAATACCGCAAGTTTCGAGTTCCGTGAACAGCTACAAAGATATGCTCCATAAAACCAAAAACACTAAAGTCTGGAAAGCAAGACTGATTTAAGTTGGTTTTCGAAGGATAAAGGAAAGAAATAATCATCAGAGATCCAAACAAACCATGTCAAAGGGTTTCCTTTCGATAAATATTTGCTCACAAGTTAAGACATCCCTATATCTTTTTAATTTTCTTATTAACCCAATCAATGTATTGAAAAGAATCAGCTTCTTATACTTCTTTCATTTGAAATTTGGCCAATCAAAACATCCTATTTGCACTATAGTGGCAGTTTCTATACTTGCCACGCCCACTTTGTCAATCGTAGCAAAGTACCACGCCCAACGTTTATAAAAAAGTGTGGATCTGTATTTTAGGCCCTGCCTGTTTATAATAAGATTCGCTGTGCTTCCAATTTCCCTGTTCCTGAATTACACAAATTGGAATTACCTGTTCAATCAAGAGGACGTCTCCGTTACCATGAGCAACGAGGTTATATGCTGTTGCGCTCCCAATTATGCCTGCCCCAACGATACATGTCTCCCACAATTTTGAGTCCATCGCGTGCGAACACAGATATACAAGCGTTGGTAGCGCTTGGGGTCAACGGGGTCAAACAACCGCTAAGTGGGAGCCACGCTAGGGTCCCGACTATGTCACGTGATGTGTGGCAAGCATGGTCTGCAAAGGTGGTACAATGCCTGCCAAAAGTCTTTAACACTGACATCAATTTCCAATAGGAAAGGAACGTTCTTTCAATTCCTAGCATACTTTAACAATGGAAAACAAACAATGATAATTGGCAAAAACCATTTTCCAATTACGGGACAAGGGAAGATAGAAAATAATAGGGAATGGGGTGTCTATGAGCGCTACCATGTTGCCACATGTGAATTCGAAGAAGCATAGTCTAAGCAAATCTATTTAATTCGTAGATGATTTTGGAAGGGTTATGGTGGATAAAATTGAGCCATTTGAACAGTTTCTCACCAGCATATTTTTTGCAATTATTTATATCATGCATGGTTTATAGACATTCTCGTGAATTTCTTTGTTTTTTCATCAACAATTAAACCATAAATAAGGGGACTTTTCAGCCAAAAAAGCACTTTTTCAAAAGCACTAAACTGTACTGTTTTTCCTTTGAAAATGATAGTAAATAAGCAACCAATAACATTGGAAAACATTGATGTATTGGCAAATTTCATCGCAGATACTGAAAAGTATCTAAAATCACTTTGTGATGCTGAAAATTACATTATCTACAGGGTTCCTCCAAAAACATTCATTATGGGTTTTATAACAACAGCAAAGTCAATTATTGCCATCAGCAGAAATTTACTTTCACAACCAGATAATAGATTTGAATATGTTTTGACATATCGTTTCTCCCAAGATGCTTTAGAAATGTTCTTTAGCAAAATACGGGGTGGATTTGGCTGGAACAACAACCCCAATATTCTTGAGTTTAAATATGCATTAAGGGCTCTCTTACAAGAGAATAAGATAGACTCTCCTGAATACTAGAGAACTAGAGAATAAGATAGACTCTCCTGAAACTGCTAACTGTGTAATGCCGGTGTCATATGCGTTTCGGTAACCTTATGCATTTCGGTCCGGCTACTCAAACGCATGGCAATTTTGGTTATGCAAAATCGTACCCAAGCACTTGAAAAATAGGGTACCAAAACGAATGGTGGGATTTAGCATGCAAAACGGTTCAAGTACACAAACGCATGGCAATTTTGTTTATACAAAACGTACCCAAGCACTTAAATAATAGGGTACCAAAACGAACTTGGAATTTAGCATGCAAAATGGTCCCGGTACACAAACGCATGGCAATTTTTCTTATACAAAAACGTACCCAAGCTTTTAAAAAACAGGGAACCGAAAAGAATGGTGGAATTTAGCATGCGAACCGGTCTGGGAACACAAATGTTCTTGTTCATATTGTTCAGAACGTAAAGAACAATCAAACTATTTCTAACAAGGGGTACTAACAAGAAGCAGTGCTGTGATTTCCCTTGTTAAGTTTATACAAAAAAGTAAAACATTAATGGCGATTCCAAAGTTTTTTTGATTGAAAAATGTGAAATTTTAAACTCAAAAAGCATTGTGTTCAATTTGTTATTCATAACGTGTCATAATATCGCACTACGATGAAATCACATGATTTGAAACACATTGCGTTTTACAATGTTACACTTTTGCATAGGGTACCAAAACGCATATTACACCGGCACAGGACTCAGAGCTTTCACAGGATTTGAACCTAATACCAAAAGATGAGTCCCCATGCGATCCTCGGGTGTACTGGCTTTTGAACACAACAAATACATGGAGGTATGGTGCTTTGTATTACATTAGTGGATATATTGCCAAACGCCTCATTGAACAGATCAAACGTCCAGAATGTGCTGTTGCCCTCTATGAGCCACAAAAATATACAACAAATGCATCAACCTTGTTGTCCTTCAAAAGTCATGGGAGTTTATTTATTCCATCTTCATCCACTATGCGTGTAGTCCAAGAAACTGACAAAGTTGCAAGGGAATTGATGATTCATTGGCAAAATATGTCAAAAAGGTAGTACAAAGGTTGTCTTTGCGTATTCTTGAGAGGTTAAGAAATAGAGTCACATGGAGACACAGTTCTTTCCTTACAAGAGCATTCCATGGAGACACACAAATTACAGGAAATGGGAGCAGATCATGTGACAGCACTGATCAAGACTATTTTTCAACTGTACATGAAAATGTTCTTTTACCAATTCAGCAAAGTCCACAAAGAGCGTGTTGTAAAAGCAAACCGTCCATCAACTAGGCATAGGCTGCTGAAAACTGTCCTCTTTTACAACGATTAGCTGAAGTTGAATTGCGACTCTTCGCTGACAGCACCTGTAAATATGTATATAGCATGGTGAACTACTTTGAAAAGACAAAAATTACTTTATGTTAATAAAAGTAAAGTATATAACTGCGTTTCAGCCTATTGTATTTAAAAAATAGTCCCTTATGGACATGTTATGTTTCAAAAATTTCAAAATTTCGTTGATTATCACTTTTTCCCGGCCTAAAATCGAAAAGTTTGAAAAAATAAAAAATACCAGTGTGTTCATGTTTTGGGGGTTTCCGTACATTAGAATACCATAAATGCATCCCAATTTACTGTCTATCTGATGTTTCTTTGATCTCCTATCTGAAGGTTTTGAGATACCCTTCTGCACCCCTCTCTTTGCATTCTGCAAAGCCAAGAAAGAGAAGTGACTCTGTTCCTTTCAAATCAACAATCTTGGCCATAAGATGACAATGTTGCATTCGATCAACTGAGCCATCTGTACGTAACGACACAGCCAAAACACTCTCAAACCGATCTTTTATTGTTAGGCGATCAGATTCAACAATGCAGTCTAGAAGGTCCGCATGGTGAGTTGGACTAAGATATCTGAAACTACCTGCTGCTGGCTCAGATTTGCCTGTATACTCGTTTGCACTGTATTCGATTGCTTTTTGATGTGCAATCTCTCTCGAAGGCCAAGACCAAGCACTTAGAGATCCCCTCTTTCCATCATAAAAGACGGTTACCATCATTGAACCAATCTTCTTTACTAACACGGAACTTTGTCTTGAGGTGGATCCCTCTAAGGTGTTCTAAAAGTTCTCCTTTCTCTAACCTGGTTCTTTTTTCTGCTTTGACCTTCAAGGTGCAGCTTAGATTGCAGGTGATTATCGATATATTTCTGCCTAATTTCTGAACCACCCTCGCTACAGATTTGAGGTACGTGATCAGATTCTTTGTGAATCTGAATTATGTTATGGTGTTTGAAACAAACTTGTCATTTGATTTTCCTTCTTCCCGTAGTACCGATCTTCTGAAAACAGTAGGAGATTTGAGTCTTCTTTGTCTTATTTTTTGATGAGGTGATATCTGAGGCACCTTGTTCGACATATGTTGATTCTTCGGGACCTTGTTGAACTTCTTCTTTGCTTTCAGGCACATTACTGCTGCAGCTTTCCTCATCTTTTTTGTTGTTATTGATTCTGACGTTTTATGCTTTGAGAAGTGTCAGACGAAAAACTTTTAGCCAATATATTTTAAAAAGTTTTGATTTTTTCAAAGCCATTTTCAAGTCCTGTGCCGCCAAAAAGTTTATCACACCTCTTTCTATTTGTATGTCTCAGCACTCCTGAAGCAGGAACAATTTTTTTAAGCTAATAAACACTTTTTTGCTCTTAAATGTTTCTCATACAGCCTATTTGATGTTTTTCTTTTATTTTATGTTTGAATATGTTTGTATGTGTAACTGCTTTCGTAGTGCTTTTTGCAGCAGATCTTAAATTTGAAATGTCTGAACTCAAATATTAACGGTGCTTATATTGGCACCAAAGCCAGATCTAACTGCAATATGTCTGATTTATGCTTTTGTTATAGATGTTCGAAATAGGTTTTCGTCTCCTACTGTTATGAATATCATTCCTTTAGTTATTAAATAATGTTTGTAGCCCAATATTGATATTTTTGCAGCTACAGTGGTATAAACAATGTTTTTTTCTCCTTCCCTTCAAAATCCCTCCTTTCTTCTTTTTTCGGACTTTGCTATCAGTTCCTAGACCTTTCCTCAACATCACAGACTAGAAGAATACGTGTAAGGTTTATTCTAGTCTTCATTAAGGTTTCTTAATTTGAGAAATCTCCAGCCTGTAACATTTGACATCTGCAATGACTGTGATTTCCAACAGGATGTGCGACCAGCTGATAGGATTGAAAGATTTTCGAAAAGGCCATCAACCCCCGTTTTTTTAGTAACAAAAAGTAGACCCATAGATCCGAGCACAGATCCGAACACTTGTGCATTGCTAGAGGAACTTTGCAACTGCAGTGTCAGCTAAGAACACTTGGAAAGAGCATTACTTGCATCACCGTCTCAATGGAATACTCTTGCCTTCCCGAATCTACAGGCAATTTTTCTTTGATATTGATATGCCTTGGAATACCTTTCCATGTTCTCATTGCAAAGATACTAGCAAAAGATCTTGAATTGACTTTACCAAGACACAAGATCCTCTTTTGCCTTTCGTTATCAGATGGGTTGCAGATTTCTCTAGTGGCGCTGTTCTACCCGTTTATAAGAGCTTTCCACTTGACAACATCTTCTAATACTTGCATTGTACTACGAAAGATTCTCCTTTTCAGCAGCGTAGTCACCGTGGTTGTTTCCAGCCTCTCTCTTGTGGCATTGTCAATTGAGCGGTACATTGCTTGCGTTCACAGTTTTCGTCTGTATGAAGTTCTGACTAACCGTAGAATCTGCGCTGCTATAACAATCTTCTGGTCATTAGGAACCGTTCTTGGCATATATGCCATTTTCAGTGACGACATATCAAACAAGGAAACCATTGTAGGCGAGACAAGATCATTTCAAATTATTGCCAGTACTGTCATTACTCTAACAACGATAATTATAACGGTAGTTCAAGTGTCGCTGTTTCGGTTGAGTAGGAAGAAAATGTCGCAAGTTTCTCCAAGCAGTGCGTTTGGGAGCGAAGCTGAGTACTCCGACTTGCGGAAAAAGCAGGTTAAAGTTGCTGTCATTGCAGGCATAGTGGTGCTCGCCTATATAGTTTGTATGGTGCCGATGTCCAGTGTTTTCATTCTGGAAAAGTGTAAAGTACTTACTGTAAGCAAATCGGTGCGTGCAAGCGTCATCATGTTTGGAATGACCAACACGCTTTTTGATCCGTTCGTTTATGGCATTGGCATTCTGGATATAAGAAGAGCTATCAAGAGACATATTATGGGCGTTGTCGACTACTTTTACAATTGCAATCTGCTGTAACGCACTGTAGAACACTTCTCGCATGGAAATATCAGCTGGAACTGATTATTAGTAAAACCATGCGCTTTTACAGAAAATAATTACAATACTATGGACATAAAACATTATTCGAATATCACACGCTATATTGTAACGTTTTACTAACATTACTAGATGTAACATTTTACAGTATATCAATTGCGTAACAAAGGATCAAGAGAGAAACCAAGCGAGAACCTTGTGGGACACCGTGTAAGTAGTCATTTATGTAAATATAGCAAATTTATTGACATTTCCATGATAACCCAAAGATGAATTGCAACGACAGAAACGCTTGTGTTTTTCATGATTGGCTCTCCTTTAAAGATTGCATTTTTGTTTTCAACTTGAATCCACCCCAATCAACTTGAACCCAATCTGCACAAAGTGTGCGGTATTATAGTAATAAAAACCTTTCATTTTGAATTCCAGTTAAAACTAAAATTACAAATTTCACTATTACAAAGGTAATTTGTTACTGGCTAGCCTGTTTCACAAAATAAAGTTATTACAACGTAGTAATGAGAAAAAAAACGTTAAAAGGGGAGTAGCGTTCAAGTTTTGTTTCTACAGCAGAATATTTAGTATGTGGTGCGAATAAAGATGCTTGAAAGTTTGGCGATGAGATAGCGTATAACAATGTTTATACAGGAAGCTTTCATCAACGAAGTGTTCTTCGGAGAGGTCGTGTTAAAATTAAATGGGTAATACTACATAAATTTGAAATTAAGATGTCATTTTGAAATTAAAAGAAGATATTGATATTTACAATAAAATGTGAAATTGTCCCAATTATATTATTTGAAAGTTAAAAGAAGTTATTAAAATTTACAATAATTTGTGAAATAGGAAACAATTTTTCATAAAAGCCTTTTAAAAGCATAAATTGTTCCAATCAGAGCCTTCATGAAACCTAAATCGCTGTTTACCCCGATTGGTACGCATTTGTGGTAAATGTAAGTCCTTGTGGAACTTATAGCCTATAAGGTTGTGTAGATATTTGTAGACAGTAGAACAGCGATGGCGTTGTCCGTTAACAAAGAGACGATCTCAGTGTAAGTTTTGAAGAGCCTGAGTAGCAGAAAAGTACTTTGCATCGAAGCTTGAGATCACCATTCAGAGTTTCTTGGAGTGCTGACCTGTTTGATGAGGAGAAATATCCTACAGTGTTATCTGCATATAAAGATATTTTGCAGGACTTGATACAGTTAGGCATGTTGTTAACGAAAATTAGTAGGGGCCCAAGGACACCCCCTTGTGGGAATCTAACTGCTAAAAATTCAGCAGACGAATGCAAGTTTTCGATGGAAGTTATTAGAGTTTTTTGGTTTTTTGTGAAAAATAAGATCTGAACTAGTCAGCGCTAAGGAGAGAGAGAGGGGTGGGGGGTCTGGGGGTCACTAGCCCGGGGGCTCTTGGCTATAGTGGCCCATAAATAATGCCTCAATTTAAGAAAAATTATAAGTAATAATTCTGACTCTCTATTATCACAAACTGTCAATAATAGAAACAATACTAAGACAAATCTATGAATGAAGTAAGGAGAAACAGTTTGAGTCTTTGAATGCTTGAGTGTTAAAGATATTTTTGTTAGGAAGTTCTCATCTTTGTGGGCTTGGGCTAAAGAGGTTGTAAAGCTTCTGAATGTTGCTAAATATGCGAATACAGCAATATGTGCAATCATTGCCAAAAGTACTTGAAACACCAAGCAAATTGCGTTGTGTTTTTATATTTTTCAATTCTTTACCCGAATACTCCTATTTTTGTTCTCCCTTCCACCCTAAACAATGTTGATATTTTAGAAAAATATCATAAAAGTAGATGAAAAATACGTGCTTCCTAATTCCCTACGTTGTCTTGTAGTAAACCAACATTGTTCAAAGGGAATGGCTGAGTTTCCTCTTGAAAACTGATGTTAATGTACCAAGACTTTAGGCAGGCATTGTACGTCATACAGATTTACACGATGGCACGCGCATCTGTTTGCAACATTTTGTCGGTATTGATCGAGTTTAGTTAACAAATAAAACGTTTCCCAAGACCTTTAAAATTTCTAAGAAATTTTTATTTCTATGCATTATGGTGTTAAGATATCAGTTATGCCCAAATTATATAAAATAGCAAACAGAAGTAATAGCCATCAGAGCAGTTTAGCCACCATCCTCTTCAAAAGTGTTGGGGGGTGGGAGCATTCCCCGTACTCCCTAGAAGCGTCTGTCTTAGGCGTGCTTAACTTTTTATCTTTCGTCTCAACCCGGGGCCCTTAAGTCCTCTCCGCGGCCCTGGAACCAGTCAACAACTGCTTTACTTAGCCCAGATTTTGAGAGTTTAGTAAACAAATGTGAATGATCAAAGGCTTTGGAAAGGTCTAAGAAAACAGCAGTTACTAGGCGATTGACCATGTTTTTTAGTATTAGGTCCATAAAGTTTGTAAGGGCTTCAGTACGTAGCTTTGGTCTGAAGCTAAACTGATAGCGGGTAAGTATTTTCTTTTCAGATAGGTAATTGTACATTTGAAAATGGACGACCTTTTCAAAAGTTTTGCTAACTGTGGAAAGTAAAGATATCGGCCTGTAGTTGTTAGGGTTACTTCTTTCGCCAGACCTGAATCGGACAGAGACATTTCCACATTCCCAGATAAAGGGAAATAACGAAGAAGAAAATGGTACAGCTCACACACCTACACGAAGCACGAAATTGATAGTGTCCAAGCAGGAGCCTGTTTAAACTCATAAATCAGAGAACATGTTTGGTCAAACAAAACAGACCGACAACTAAATTGGAGCTGCAATTGCTATTTTTTTTGTTATTTAAAACGTTTTAAACAGCTGCAAGCCAACGACTGTAAGAAACATTCTGAAATGTATTTTAAGCAATTCTTAAGGGCGTGTTCGCAACAATTTTCTGTTTGCTTCGCTCGCAGGGGACCCTCGTCTGTACTTCTACAGAATGGTTTACAATTGCCCCTCGTTTTAGGGTTTATATAGAAAAGTCGCTCACCTTCTTTTGGAATTCCCAATAAAATAGAAAAGAGAATGCTAAAGCGCTTCAATCCTTAAAAAAACTGGATTCTGAAATGTTTCTGGGGGAATTTGCAGAGTTTGCTCCAAGGATGCGGACTTTCTCCAAGGTAAACCCGCCGGGGGTCGAGGGGCAATTCATACGTGTAAAAGTGCACGAGATTTCATCACAATAAAAGGATTTCCAAGGATTTCAGATAAAACAATAGGATTTCCACCAAAAATGTACGAGATTTCCACCAAAAGGGTGATTTGTCTCTCGTTGGGGATGAGGGTCCTACTTTTCGAGCACTAGCAAATTGAAATGCACATGTAGGTAAAGATTTTGTGTGGCAATGATGATTCTACTTCGCATGGATGTTTTCAAAAGATTGCATGCACTCATTAGTCTTCTAGCTTCACACGAGTGTGGCTATGCAGCCACATTTTTAGTCGATAAATCTAACACTTCCCCCCGGCACAGAGGGCTTCACACATTGCTCATCCTTTCCAAGTCTCTTTGCCAAACGCACGAACTCAATCCCACAATTTTTTCCTTCCTTCCCCAGGCGCGCAACTACAGAAGGGGTCCTGGGGGTCTAGACCCCTGCCCCTTCTCTCAAAAGGGGAAAAAAGCTACAAGAAAGAAACCAACACATCAATCAAGCCTGTCCCATGGTCCATAAAATTTACAGGGTCATAGAGGACTTTTGCATGGAACGAGCGATTGTAGAGGAACTTTCGCGGACTGGTATTAGCAAGCAGTGGAGATGGCACAATAAGTTGATGTTCAACTGTTCCATTCTTTGTCAGTATTACAACTGAGCTGAAGTCACGACTTGCAGACAGAAACCAGCTGAACTCAAGGCTCGTGGGCCTGCTCAACCTCCTCCCATCTGTAATGCGAAGCAAAGAATTCAATGTTCTTAAGGCCGTTCACATTTTAAAGAGCAAATTGTCTTCGGATATGGAAGATGACGGGCTGCTTTTCAAAAGTGAGCTGGCCCTGGGAAAATGAGATGACAGCAGGGTCACCGAGAGGGGGTAAATTGCCCCTCTCGGGGCTTGAGGATTAGGGGGCATCATAAAGCAATGAACTCCGTTTTAACATGGAATTAATTAGAGAAGTAAAAAATACACTTAAAAAAGTAAACCGTTATGAACGAACGAATAAATTTAAGCTATTCCTCAAGGGCGTGGCTTCGTCTTTTCAGTTCCCCCCTCGGGCCTCCAAAACCTCTCGGCGGCCCTGGATGGCAGACAAAAATGGAAAGTTCGCTGAGATTGGAGAAACTGGACGAAGCCATGTAGATAGTTAACATGAAAAGGAATGAAATATAGACTCATGCATCCTCAATATTTCTCTATGGATCAGTTTTCTTTGTCTGGCGTACAATATTAACAGGTTTGCTAACTGCTCATATTTTCTGCGTATCTAAACAAATGCCCCGGTGGACCTTCGGCGTGCACCCTGGCGTATTCTCTGTTTCTAAACATGAAAATATAAAGCAGGCTATAAGTAAATAAAGTTTCCTTAGTGCCCTTTTTTGTCTTCCTCTGCCCTTTGAAATTCCTGGTTGCGCGCCTGCGTTCCCAGATCGTGTAAACTTTATAATGCGCTACCTCCTTCCAGTTTTCTAGAATCTTACAAACTGTCTTTATTCAAAACAAAAATGAAAAAGGTGATTTTTCTTCTCTCTTTCACCAATCTCTCCTCCCTCTCCCTTATTAGAGCTTAGCAATAGTCACTTGAACCATTCCCTAACATCATCAAATGGGTATACTGTATATAGTCGAAGCTAGTCATTAATCAGTTATCACTTATTATTAATCACCAATCACAGCATAAAGAGTGGTTTCAATGCGCATGCTCGTTGACCTCTTGGACGGGGGTTGTGCGTTCAACAAGAACTCTCTATTTTCTTTCAAACAACTTTCGAACGAGATCTTCTAAATGTCATGTAAAAATTACGTTAATCCCAG